TTTTCCCTAACGACGATAGTTAGCTTATGACGAAACAACAAGAACTAATACTTAACCAACATTGCCGATTGTCAGAATGAAAGGAAAAAATGTTGTTTCTGTCAATCAAATTCTACTTTGTTAATGTTCTTGATTCCGAAAACCAAGAAATAGATAGATATATATGTGCAAAAACGCAGACCCAAAGATGGGGGAAGTGAGTGTAAAGATTGATGAGGAACAAAGTGCTGGTAATGGATTTTGCGAGGCCAACAGTGATAATAAAAATTTTTGAAGAATTGTTTCAAGATGCAAAGGTTGCAGGAGGAGGAGGCGAGAAAGCGGTGAAAAAATAAAATTATTGTAATTTAGTTATTAAATTGAAAAGTAAAATCAATGCGTTTCAAAAAAAATCAATACTAAGAAAGGAAAAAATAAAAAAGAGGTGGAGAGTTATTGATTTTATGTGACGTGGCATATGCCACATATATTAGTAAGAGACTCTTAGTGAGAGTTTCTTTGTATCTCTAGCATTATTGAAATTCTAAATCCAAAACTCCTAAACTTTAAAATTATAAATATCAAAAAAATATAAACTTAAACCATTAAAATCTAAAATCAAATTATAAATATAAAAAAATATAAACTTAAAACCTTTAAATCTAAAATCCTAAACGCTAAAACCCCTTAATTCCAAAAATTTTAAAATTTAAAATCTTCAGAACTCTAAAAATGAAATCCCTATAGCCGAAGGCTCTAAATTAAAATTCTAAACCTTAGATCTTAAACTATAAGAATAATATATTAGTATTTAAGATTTTGTATTTTAGTATTTTAGGATTTATGGTTTAGAGATTTTGAATTTAGTACTTAAGATTTCAAAATTTGTAGTTTAGGATTTTTCAAATTCATGAGCTTGAATTTAAAGATTTTAATCGTTTTATGGTTTATCTTATAGGGTATATTATTTGTGTTTAGGATTAGGGTATTTTAGTATTTTAGTATTTTAGGGTTTAGAATTAAAAATTTTACCCTTAAAGTTTTAGGACTTTGGGTTTTTGGGTTTAGATTTTTAGAATTTAAGTTTAAAAATTAACATTTACAGTTTTAGGATTTGATATTTAATGTTTAGGGTTTAGAATTTTTAGCATATTTTAGAATTTTAAGATTTAAGGTTTAGAATATTTATGTTTAGAGTTTAGAGCCAAACGTTTAGTGTTTAAAATTTTAAGATTCAAGATTTATTATTTTAGAATTTAAGATTTAGGGTGTTAAGATTTGAAGTTTTACAGTTTAAAAATTTTAGGATTTAAAATCTATGGTTTAAAATTCTTAAAATTTTAGGACCTAATTAATCCAAATTGTTATAGAGGGATCATAATAAGTATGTTGGAGAACTTAAAGGACTAAAAGTTACAAACTTAACATCTAAATTTGATAACAAATAGTTTTAAGACTCAATTGGACTCTATTATAACATTTTAGGACTCGAATAATCAGCTAAAACATTTTAGGACTCAAATAGGATTACACCTAAAGTTTTAGGACTTTCTTAGCCATTATCCCATCCATTAGCTTTTAACTATCTTTACCACTGGGACGACTGGACTCGGTTTGTTTTGGGAGAGACAGAGAGAAAGAGAGGGGAAGAAGAGAAGGAACATGGAACTAACAGTCTCTTGCGTTTCTGTTTCTGTTTGTGTTGTTCACAGCCACCAGCACCAGTTCTTGAGGCCAAACCCATCATCATCAGCATCATCAATATCCCTTCCTGGCCTGCGTTTCTCCGTCGTCGCCGCCGGTGAGTCGTCTTTTCGTCGTCTTGTTCTTTGTACTTATAATAGTAGTAGTAGTAGTAGTAGTGTCAGTTCCAATGGAGGGAGACAGAAACCCAGACACAACCCACCAAAAAAATACCTCAAAACTAAACCCACCAGTTATGCTGATAATCCCAGACACAACCCAGAAGCACAGCACAACCCACCAGTTATGCCTTTAGAATGCTTGATGAGGTTCCTTTGCCTCCTATTAGCAAATTCAATAAGTCATTATCGGCCCTTGTCCGAATGAGACATTATGACACAGTAATCTCTCTGTCCAAAGAAATCTTACAGCGAGGACCCTCTCCCGATGCTTATACACTCTCCATTTTGGTGAATTGCTTATGCAAGACTGGGGAAACCGATTCTGTTGTTGGGTTGCTGAGGGGAAGAGTGGACAAAGGCAAAGAACGAGTTTCTGAGGGTTTGGATTGCCTCTCCAAAATTATCAACAGAGGGATTGCTCCTAATGTTATCACCTTTAATATATTGGTCGATGCTTTTTGCAAAAAGGGGAGGACTTCGGAGGCTCAAGCTTTGCTGAAAACAATGAATCAATTGGGTATCCGTCCTGATGAAGTCACTTACAATTCGCTAATGGATGGATATTGTTCCTGCGGAGAAATGGATAAAGCTAGAGAAGTGTTTGCTCTGATGATGAACAAAGGTTGCACACCGAATCTTCGTAGTTACAACATCCTCGTCAACGGATACTGTAAAATGCAAAAGATAGACGAAGCAAAGGAGGTTTTTGATAGTATGGATCGATTGGGTATCCGTCCGGATGTCGTCACCTACAGTTCACTAATGGATTGATATTGTTCGCTCAGAGAAATGGATAAAGCTAGAGAAGTGTTTGATTTCATGATGAGGAAAGGTTGCACACCTAATATTCAAAGTTACAACATCCTCATTAACGGATACTGTAAGATGCAGAAGATAGATGAAGCTAAGGAAGTTCTTGATGCTATGGATCAATTGGGTATCCATCCCAATGTCGTCACTTACAATTCACTAATGGATGGATATTGTTCGCGCGGAGAAATGGATAAAGCTAGAGATGTGCTTCCTCTAATGAGGAGCACTGGCTGCACACCTAATGTTCGCAGTTACAACACCCTCATTAATGGATACTGTAAGATGCAGAAGATAGATGAAGCTAAGGAAGTTCTTGATGCTATGGATCAATTGGGTATCCATCCCAATGTCGTCACTTACAATTCACTAATGGATGGATATTGTTCGCGCGGAGAAATGGATAAAGCTAGAGATGTGCTTCCTCTGATGAGGAGCACTGGCTGCACACCTAATGTTCGCAGTTACACCACCCTCATTAATGGATACTGTAAGATGCAGAAGATAGATGAAGCTAAGGAAGTTCTTGATGCTATGGATCAATTGGGTATCCATCCCAATGTCGTCACTTACAATTCACTAATGGATGGATATTGTTCGCGCGGAGAAATGGATAAAGCTAGAGATGTGCTTCCTCTGATGAGGAGCACTGGCTGCACACCTAATGTTCGCAGTTACACCACCCTCATTAATGGATACTGTAAGATGCAGAAGATAGATGAAGCTAAGGAAGTTCTTGATGCTATGGATCAATTGGGTATCCATCCCAATGTCGTCACGTACAATTCACTAATGGATGGATATTGTTCGCGCGGAGAAATGGATAAAGCTAGAGATGTGCTTCCTCTGATGAGGAGCACTGGCTGCACACCTAATGTTCGCAGTTACAACACCCTCATTAATGGATACTGTAAGATGCAGAAGATAGATGAAGCTAAGGAAGTTCTTGATGCTATGAATCACTGGGGTATCCGTCCCGATGTCGTAACTCACAATTCAATAATGGATGCATATTGTTCGCAAGGAGAAATGGATAAAGCTAGAGAAGTGTTTGATCTGATGAGGAGCACTGGTTGCACACCTGATAATCGTAGTTACAACATCCTCATTAACAGATACTGTAAGATGGGAAAGATAGATGACGCTAAGGGAGTTTTCAATGGTATGTCTCGTACAGAAATTTCACCTGATGTTGTTCCTTTCAATACATTGATCGGTGCATTTTGCAAAGAAGGCAGGTTTTGTGATGTTCAAGCTTTGCTCGAAACAATGAATCACTGGGGTATCCGTCCAGATGTCGTAACTCACAATTCAATAATGGATGCATATTGTTCGCAAGGAGAAATGGATAAAGCTAGAGAAGTGTTTGATCTGATGAGGAGCACTAGTTGCACACCTGATAATCATAGTTACAGCATCCTCATTAATGGATACTGTAAGGTGCAAAAGATAGATGAGGCGATACAGCTTTTTGAGGGAATGAATGCAAATGGCCCAATGCCGAATGCAATAACTTATTCCACTTTGGTAGATGGTTTACTGAAGCTAGGGCGTGGTGATGAGGCATTAGTGCTATTGCAAGCTATGGAAAAGCATTTCGGAAGCCTATTATAGTGCTATAATATCCTTATTTGTTGTATGTGCAGATTTGGGATTTCGTTCGACATGCTAGAAAACTGTTTTTAAGTCTCTATATCGGATAGTCTTGCTACCAGGTGGCTGGACATGTAGCGTAACGAGGAATTGACTTTGAAAGAAAGGGTTCCCCCACGAAGGATATAAAGTTTCAGAAAACCGGAAAAGAATGGCTCCTCACTGGACAGTTGGTGTACAATGTTACTATAAAAACGAGGGTTGCTTCTACCCTGGGATCTGTCAATGGCAGCTAAATTCCTTAAGGAGGGTCTGGGATTGTCAACAGATGCCACCACTAAAAGGCTGTTACTACATCTTTAATCTGATGTTGATGATGTCCCTTTGAAAATGAGAGAGATGGCTGTGGGGAAGCGAAAGTAATTTAGTGGATGAAATAGCGTTGCAGCCCAAGGATAATAATTCTACCTTTTAGTTCAGTGCTGCTTCCCATACTTGGTTCTTTGCTTTTTCTTAACTACTGCCTCTCATTCTCGTAGGAACTTAACATTTTAGCTTCCAACTTCGCAGCAGATATTTTGGTTGAAATAACAAGTGAATATTACTTACTCTTGATCAATTCATTGAGTTTCTAGTGTAATAAATATGAAGAAGAAAAAAAAATGCAAAAGTAACAAAACTATGGTTTGAAGTCCTTGTCACAATTTTATTCTTTAAGAGAATGAAAAGCTAAGAACATAGTAAATTTCAGTCTCACCATCTTTCTTTTGCTTTAATTCCACATATACAACTTTTTCCAAGACGAGCTATCATTACTGAAAAACAGTCCGTCTTCTTGGCCCCGCCAATAACATTTTTGTGTCTTGTTGCACAAACCCAGCACCTCATCCTCATCAAACACAGTAACTTCAGTGAGATGTTTTTCACCCCGTTTGAAGTCACAGTAAAAATGGGTAGAGGGAGGTACAATCCTGAGGCCAAACCTGAAGTTAAGTCTCCCCCAATGTACAAGGTATGGTGTCCAAGATCATCATTCCTTGACCAACAATGAATCAACATTGGTTGGTCATTGTTGCTGAAACCATTGATGACATGAACTGTGTAATGGTTGCGAAAGGGATCAAGGTTTATGGAGCTATTGGCAGAGGCTTGAAATGGGATGATTGCAAGTATGGAAAGGAGACAGATAATGGTAGAGGAAGACATGGTGAATAATTTTTGGATACTATACAAATTAGGGTGACGTTCATCCATATATAGCTACCCAAAAAGTAGAACAGACCACAAAGGATTGTAGTGAGATTTTGTTGCCAATTTGTGGCGATACTTAAGCAAACTTTAAGTAAGTAATATATTTGACATATTAACTTTAGGACTCCCTCCTGCCATAAAAGAAAAACAAGAAGCAATCTACGTAAAGATTGAGTTTAATTAATGATTTTATGGAGTGTATATGCTATATTTATACAACATATGGAATTCGATCTCACAAGCTAGATCTCTATCTTTATCATATGGGTAATGCTATTTGCCACTACATACATCATCCCTGAAATTCTCAGGGGTGATGTGGCATCCTATGTGTTTAAATTTATTTTTTTAATTATATGATGATTAGATATATATTTAAGTTAAGTATTTATAAAAGATAAAAAAAATTAGGAAACTTTTCCGTTTCCTAATAACATTCTTCTTCCTTGGGTGATGGAATTGAATGTGGATTCTTTCTCTTTCTTTTTCTTTTCTTCTTTGAACGGGGACTTTTTCTCTTTCATATAAAAACAAAAGTACAAAATTGAAAATCTGAAACTGATACAAAACAAATTCCAACCTAAAATGAAATAATTGTAGATTAGTATCCGTATGAGATAGATAAAATAATATTGCCCTGGGAAACACCAAATTTCGATTATGCCATGGTCTCCCTATGGATTTTTACTGTGAATGAAATTAGATCTTGAATGAAAGAGAGCAAGCCTGTGGATTTTTCCTGTGAAAGAAACACCAGCTATTAGATTTTTTAGGCTATAACTCTATCTCCTCCCTTCAATTTTTGCAAACTCTAGACTGGAAAAAGGAAAAGATGTGATCTAATGGAGAATACAAGGACAATAAATGGAGATAATAAAAGTCGTTTTTCTGTAAGATGAAGCATCCACGCCTTGTATTTGCCGCTGGATAGCTTCTTGTAAGATGAAGCATCCACTGTGTTGTCTTGTGATCTAATGGAGATTTGATTTCGGTTGGAGTGAGCTGCTGCCGGAGTAATATTGAATCTTGGTTTCGGTTGGAGTGAGCTACTGCCGGAGTAATATTGAATCTCCATTGGTAAGTTAATTTCAATACTTTTCAATTTATGATCTATTCTTACGAGATTGAGAGCCGCATGGAAGAAAGTAATTAAAGAGGTTTTCTATTTTTATCTTTTATAAATACTTAACTTAAATATATATCTAATCATCATATAATTAAAAATTTAAATTTAAACACATAAGAAGCCACATCACCCCTGAAAATTTCAGGGGTGATGTATGTAGTGGCAAATAGCATTACCCTTATCATATATGTTTCTTACAAAAAGCACGTGCTTTAAATAATCACTTGTCTATAAATTAACGATAATTTTCGTAATGCAAACTATCTTCTCCCAATGTAATAAGGACATTTTTAAGTCGTAAAATCAGTCGAGTCTTGAACATTTTAAACTCCGCAATTGAGCCTTAATTATGTCCGTTAACAACAGCTAAATGTCCATTATGTGATGATGTGGCATGCATGCAGCACATACGGCATAATGACATGGCATAGTACGTCATCATTGAGAAAGCTTTTCTTAAAAAAATAGACTTTAGATACGTAGGTGGAAAAGGTACATTGCGAAGTCCTAAACCTTAATAAGACATATCAAATTAGTCTTCAACGTTTAGATAATATATTAAATTAATTCTAAACCCTTATTCTAAAACAATATCTATGATGAAACACTTTTGGAGCGAAAAAATTAATCATATATTTCTTAATGGATTAACTTTTTGTATTTTTAAAATAAAAAATATGGATTACCATTAAAATCAAGCTTAACAAAGAAAAATAGAATAAATTTTTTTCATTTACTGAAAATTTTGAAAATGGAAAATAATTAGTTATTTAATTTATAAAAAAAATTTGCGTTAGAGACTAAATAAAATTGTTTAAAAGTAGAATAAGATCTTCCCTTTCCTTTACATCAAGACCATATAAAAAAAGAACTTTATAGTTTTTTTTTTTGAATCAAAGTTAACATTTCATTGATAAAATTGGGTTAGGTAGAAACCTAACAAAGTACAATTACTTAGCAAAGCTAAGGAATACAAAACCTGGTCATATACCAAGAATAATTTTTGTAAAGAGACAGTATACAAAGCTAAGAAACAAAGTAAATACACCAGAAATCACATAATACTTTGAGCTCCTGAGATAGAGGATGATGCTTGAGACAGTGTAGGCCGCAGAAGGAAGCTTAAGATCACAATAAGTATAGCAACGTATGACCTGTGAGTAGCAGTAAAGAACTTTATAGTTTAATTGATGCTTTTCAATTTTAGGACTAATTTGATATATAATTGACGGATTAATTAGAGAATGAAATATATTTAAAGAGAAAAAAATGCAAAAATAACAAAACTAAGGTTTGAAGTCCCTGCCACAATATTATTATTATTATTTTTCATACGATGAAGCGACAGTAACATCATATATATAAATACCTAACTTAGATATAGCCAATAGGCACAACAATTGCCTCTCTACAAACATGGCAGAGTTACTTAATTGCCAACCTCCAAGAAGATATTGCTTAAGTGATAGAATCGTTAAGAACATCATTGTTTTCAATCTCATCTCTCTTTAGCTCTAATTCCACATATACAATTTTTTCCAAGAGGAGTTGTCATTGCTGAAATAGAGCCCGTCGTCTTGGCTACGCCAATAACAAGTTTTCGTGCGGCTGCACAAACCCAATACCTCATCCTCATCAAACACACTAACTTCTTTAAGATAATTTGCACCGTGATTGAAATCACAGTAGAAATGGCTAGAGGGAGGTATAACCCGGAGGCCGAACCGGAAGTTGAAGTCTCCGCCGATATAGAGGGTGTGGTTCCCAAGATTGTCGTTCTTTGACCAACAACGGAGTAACAATGGCTGGGCATTGCTGCTGAAGCCATTGATCACATGAACTTCGTATTTGTTGCGTAAGATTTCAAAATTTATGGAGGTATTGGCAGAGGCGAGAAATGGGATGATTGAAAGGATGGAAAAGAGACAAATGGTAGCTAAGGGTGACATGATGAATTTTTGTGTTACTATACTAATTAGGGTGAGGATCGTCCATATATATAGCTTCTCAAAAAGTAGTATATAGACTAGATAAGATTAAAAAATGGATAGATGAATGTATGTAGAACATTATAAAAGTAGAAGGGAGAAGGATAAGAGGAAGGATATCGGTAATTAAATTTTCCAAAAAAGAATACTTAGAAGTTTGAGATTTGGTTACCAATTATGATGATTCTTGGGTAGAGAGTACCAATACCTTACCAAACGAAAAGAAGTACAGTATTTGCCTCCTAGTGTTGCTTGGTGCAATGCATATCTTCTACCATTAATAGGATTGCCTTCGGCCTAACTGTTTCTTGCGACGGCCGGAAGCTAAGCTTAGGTTTGAATATGAGCAGGTCTTGGTTCGTGAAGAACTGATCTGGACGCAGAAATCCCAATGTAAATGGTTGCAACTGGGTGACCGTAATACTCACTTTTTTCATTTGACGACTAAGGTGAGAAGGAAGAAGAATCGGATTGAGACACTAAGGAATGAAGCAGGGGATTGGGTGTATGATTCAGCTTGTCTTCAACGAATGGCGGTGCAGTTTTTTGCACAATTGTATGTGGAGGAGGGCAGCCAGGGTCTGACAGTGTTGCCGGGTGGTTTCCTGAATGTTAATTTTTGAGGAGGGCAACTGTACAATAAGTGCTAGTTTGAATGTTGAGGTTACACTCAAGGAGGTTCGGCGAGCTGTGTTTGATATGGGTGCGTTGAAGGCCCTAGGTCCAGATGGTCTACATGCTTTGTTTTACCAGAGTCAATGGAGCTTGGTGGCGAGTGACATGTATCATTTTGTGCTGGATGCTCTTACTGGGCATCGTTTGGATCGTAGGGTGAATGACATGCTCATTGTGCTTATTCCCAAGGTTGATCACCCGTCTCACATATTGCAGTTTAGACCTATTAGTCTTTGTAATGTGGCCTATAAGATTATTACGAAGCTTTTGGCCTCCCGTTTTAAACGGGTGATGGACCCTTTGGTAGGTCCAGAGTAATGTAGTTTTGTTCCTGGTCGACATTTATTGATAACATTATCATTGCTCAGGAGGTCACTCATATGATGAAGACAAGGTCTGGTGGCCTTGGTTTGATGGCTTTAAAGAATGATCTTGAGAAAACTTATGATAGACTGCGTTGGAGTTTTGTTGAGGAGACTTTATTGCTGGCGCAGGTGCCAACTCTTATTGTATAGGTGATAATGGAGTGTATCTCCACAGCTCGGATGAGGATCCTCTGGAATGGGAGCCCTACGGATGTTTTCTGTCCATCCCGGGGTATTCGTCAGGGGGACCCTTTATCACCTTATATTTTTGTGTTGTGTATGGAGAGATTAGGACATACTATTTCTTCTCGAATTAGTAAGAGTCACTGGTAGCCTATCATGCTAGGGAAGAATAGCCCCCTTTTGTCCCATCTTTTCTTTGCTGATGACCTTTTATTATTTGGTGAAGCTTCAGTTTAGCAGGCTGAATGTATGATGGAGTGTCTGGATCTGTTTTGTGCTGTGTCTAGCCAGAAGGTGAGCTCCCCAAAGTCAAAGTTCTTTTGTTCCAAGAATGTTCCAGAGGAGTTGGGTGCTCAGATTAGTAGTGTGTGTGGCATACCTTTGACAATGAATTTGGGAAAGTATTTAGGAGTTTCCTTATTACATCACTGACTTACACGTTTTACGTATCAGAAAGTTTTGACTAAGGCCTCCCACCGGTTAAGTGGTTGGAAAGCAAGATCTTTATCCTTAGCTGGTCGTATCACATTGGTTAAATCGGTGCTCACCCCCTTGCCCGCTTTTACCATGCAAACGACCAGGTTACCGAAGGATATATGTCAAGCTTTGGATCCCCAGTGTCGTCAGTTCATCTGGGGAGTTTGGCTGAGAATCGGAAGATTCATCTAGTTAATTGGGAGACAATTACCCAGCCTAAGGAGTCGGGTGGACTTGGGATTCGCTCTACTAGTGTAACAGCCCGGGTAAAATTTTGGATTTTTACCGGGACTGTAAAAGTCTTTTTACCGTGATTTACCGATTAATTAATCTTGGGTAATTAGTTCAAGGTAAATCGGGCGTCGTTTTTCGAAACCGAGAGTTTTCCCGCGCTCGTGATTTTTCCGCGGATTTTTCGGGCCTATGTTGGTATTTTTTCGGGTCCCGGAATTCTGAGAAAAATCACATCGGAAAATAACTAAGGGGGTATCAGTTATTTTCTGGTCCGGACTGGACTCGCTCTATAATGCAGACAGGCTGCATTATTGAGGCTGCATTATAGAGGAATCACATGATACACAGTAATTTTCCGTTTATAAAAGAAGAAAGGAACCGGGAGAAGAGAGGAAGAGGAGAAGAAAAAGAAAAGGAGAGGAAAAAGAAAAAGAGAGGAAAAAAAGAAAAAGAGAGAAAAAAAAGAAGAGGAAAAAAAAGAGAAAAGAAGAAAAAGAAAAAAAGAAGAAAAATCAGAAAAAAAGAAACAAAGAGGGAGTAAAGAAAAGAAAAAAAAGAAAAAAAGAAAGAAGAAAGAAAATCGGAATATAGGAAAAAAAAAAGAAAATTCAAAAAAGAAAAAAATAGAGTGAACAGTGCCCACCCGGAGCCTCCCCTCGTCACTGTTCACCAGGGAGAGATCGAAGCCACCTCTCGTCGCACCGCCACCACCAGCAGGACGCCAGAGCCGTCGCCGACCTGTCTCCGCCTTCCCCGAGCTCTTTCGTCCACCGAAGCGCCGCAACGCGCCGTCGACCCGAGGAGCAGACCCGCGGATCCGTTTCTTCTCCGCGCCTGCCGCCTCACGCCGACGACGCAGCGCCGCCGTTCCACTGCCCTTGGAGTCGCCCTCGTCCGCCGGTGCCGTGGGTGTGCTCGCTCGTCCTTCCCCCGCCTCGTTCACGCTGCCGCCGAGCTCATCCAAGGTGAGCAGACCCGCGCCGCGTCCGACCCGTTTCATCTGGTCGGGTCGTGTTCCTAGGTTTGGGTCGTGTTTCTGGGTTGGGCTGTGAGCTGGTGCTGGGCCGAACCTTGGCAGGCCTGCTGCCTTGGTCTGGGCCGACACTATTTATGGCCCAGTCCGTTTAATTTTTTTAAAAAATAATATATATATATATATATATATATATATATATATATTCATAATTTGGTATATAATTTTGGAAAAAAATTATATATTTACTTTGAGAAAATTATGATCAATTTAATTTTGGTATTTTTCAGGAAAATATAAATATATATACTTTGATAAATAATTAAGTTATGTTTTGGAAAACTATTATTAATTGGAGAAAAAATATATACCATGAAATAATTTCTGGAAATATTATTTTCCCTGGAAAATTATGGTTGAGGAATGTATATATATTTACTTTGAAAATTAAAGGTAATTATATTTTATGTTGGAAAATATTATTATATATATTTTAAAAAAAGATAAATACTATATATATTTTCTGGAAATTGTAAATAGGTTATTATTTTTTCTAGAAAAATTAAGGTAATTATTATTTTGGAAAAAAGTATATTATTTTATGAAAATGTTTTCATATAATAGTTTTGGAAATATATTTTTGTAACCTTATACGCATACGATATATTTTCGGAAAAAGGGATAATTATGGTGAAAAAAGATAATAAAGGCTATAAATCGGGATGGGTATATTTCGCAGTATTGGCATCATAGTATACCGATTATGTGCATTTATGAGTATATTTTGTTTTGTTGTATAGGTTTGGATATAGGGCAGTTTCCCGAGGAGCCGGCGTCGGACCGGTCAATGTTTCCGGAGTTGAGTAATCGGCCAAGGTGAGGATGGATTTTCTTCTATATGTGCCTATATTACTCGGTTGTTGTATTTGATGGTTGTTGCACTGTTGAGTGTTGCGTTGCTGTGGTATGATTCGGGATGCTTATCTCATTGTCTTGATTGTTGTCGGGATGTTTATCCCATGTTGGTTTTTGGATGTTTATCCTTGCGTCTTTTTGGTTTAAGGTATAATGGAATTAATAATAAATTGTGATAAGGATGTCGATCCTTGGGTTTGGTTTGGGGTGTCTATCCCGGTATTTTGGTTAGAGATGTTGATCCCTGTGATTTGATTTTAATGACGATAATATAATTGTCACGTGGTAAGTAGTGGTACGACTCGATGGTTTAAGACTATTTTGTGGTGGCCGTGACCTGGGTTACTTGTGATAAGCATGTCTATACTTGGGATGTCTATCCCGTGATTATTTTTGGGATGTCTATCCCTGGGTTCGTATTTTTGGGATGTCGATCTATGGGTTCTCTTGGATTTGGTCTGGCACCCGGAATATGTTGATAACCAGGTTTGACCTCTAGCTTATCCGTGACGGGGCCCGAAAAGGTAAAATTGGAAAATTGGATTTCTGTTTTAGTCTTTTTGGTCTTGGACCAGTTTTGGGTCGAGTCTTTGTTTTGGTGTGTTTGGCTGTGATGCCTGTGTTTTGACCTTGAGTAATTTTTAGGGTTGCATATTGATCGTCTATCCATGGTTGTGAGCACTTCGGACTCACCCCTCACCTGCGGGCTTTCATCCCGTAGGATGGGTTATTTGTGGTACAGGTTTGGTGTATTCCAGACAGGTTGCGACGTTATCCCTTGGGCAGAACTTGGATCCATAGTTTGCTTCTATGTCGCATACAGTGTCTTGTGAGTTATTAAGTCTTCCGCTGTGCATTTTATTGATATTATTGGGCCATTGGGCCGGTTGAGTTATTATTGTTGTTTTTATTTTGGGCTGTTGAGCCCGGATTTCTGTTGTATACACTGTATGCTGGGCTTGGTATGGTTGGGTCGTCACAGTTTCGGCACGTGTTTACTGTGTATGGTAAATACGGATCGGGGCGTTTCATTTTGGTAGCGGAGCGGGCGTTAGGTCTTGTTGGGCAGTCCTTGTGTGTTTGTTGTTCTTGTTTGCATAGTTCGCTCCATTTGTTTATTATTTTATAACATTTAGTTA